GCGCTTATTCTACTGAGCCATCTCCCCAGTCCAGTAAATATATTCTTAACGTCAAAGATAAAGTGTGGTTGGGGAAGAGTCGGTGACACAGCTCACCACGTCTCTGTCCCTTGTCCCGGCCCAGGGGAGGCAATAGGTGTAGACTTCCCCGTGAAGGTGCCCTACAGGAAAATCACCTTCAACCCCGGCTGTGTGGTCATCGACGGGATGCCCCCCGGTGTGGTGTTCAAGGCACCTGGCTACCTGGAGATCAGCTCCATGCGGAGGATTCTGGATGCTGCAGAGTTTATCAAGTTCACTGTCATCAGGTAATGAGGGTCCCTGGCCTGGTTACCAGAAGGAATCTGCAGCTCAGAACTTTCCAGAAAAGGCGCCCCCAGGGTAATTTGCCCCGGAGGTAACCTGAGTCTCACAGTCAAGCTCCAAATTGAGTCCATTTTCTTGTCTCTCAGTGGGCCTGAGCAGCCTGCCTCAGTTTCACCTACCGCTGCACCAGGAGTTGCATCGACACCCAGGAAAAGTATGCGGGACAAGCTTCTCGGTGCAGGGTGCACACTGGCAATCCCAGCTCTCTGGGAGGCTGAGGCGGGAGGATCCCAAGTTCCAGCTCAGTGTGGGAAATTTAGCTGTCGAGCAAGATCTTTCATCAAACACTTAAAAGAGCCAGGGATGTAGCTCAGGGCAAGAACCAGGGGTGGGGGTGGGCTGGAAGGTCGGAACTGAACGGACAGGAGCAGGCCTTGCGCCTTGCCACCTTCACTGTGTCTCTCTCTCCACAGGCCACTCCCCGGGCTAGAGCTCAGTAACGGTGAGTGTTCGCTGCACCTGGTCACCCTGGTCATAGCACTGACGCGGGGGCCCTGTGGGTGCTCGCCTGACTTTGAACCTTCAAACAAAGCACAGGCTTTCCAAGGACATGCTTTTTCCTGTGTGTGATAAACCACCTCCTAAACCCATCTGGTTATTAACTGATTTTTCTTTTTATTTATTTATCTTTTTTCCGGAACCGGGGATTGAACTCAGGCCCTTGTGCTTGCCAGGCAAGCACTTATTCTACTGAGCTATCTCCCCGGCCCCCTGATTTTTAAGTATAGGTATAAAAAGTAAATCCATATTAATATGCTGAGTTGAAAAAGGTTCAAGTCAACAACTTGTGACATTGCCAGTCCTATGGATAACCCACTACTATTATGGACTACTGGGCTAGATTAGATTATTTTTGCTAAATTCTTACACCTATAATATTTAAATGGCAATGGAATACCCCTCTCTGACAAAACTAAACAAAAAAGGGACACCAATGAAGGACCATTTTGTATCTGTATACACAAAATAGCATAGATATGCAGATACTTTCTCCTAATTCAATGAGAAGAAAAATTTGTACTAATAGTGTTTGGACAGGATATTATGTCTGTAGCTTGTACTATGAATAACCACTATGAAGACAACACTATGGAATGTACTAATTATTGTAACTGTCCTGTCTACTAACCTTTTTTTTTTTTCCAGAACTGGGGATTGAACTCAGGTTTAACCTGTTTTGAAACTGTCTCATTGCTATTTGTTTCTCAATAAAATTAATTAGATAAATTTTAAAAATAATAATTTTGTGGAGATATCATACACTTAAAATGGACCCAGTTCAGTGAATGCACCTTATCCTTCTCATTTATTGTGCTTTTGGTTTTTCTTTCCTTTCTTCTTTTTTTTTTTTTTCTTCTCTTTTCTTCCCTTCCCTTTCCTTTCTTTTTCTTCCCAGAACTGTGGATGGAAGCCAAGACCTTCACACCGAGCCACATCCCCAGAGCCCCTTTCAGGTTTCTTTTTATTTGGAGACAAGGGTCTACAAGTCACTAAGTTGCCCAGGCTGGGCTCAGACTGGCCACCCTCCCGCCTCAGCCTTGCACAGTGCTGGGTTCACAGGCATGCACACCACGCCTAGCTTGTTTTTCTAATATTAACGTTAAGAGACAAGTGAGTCAGTAGTTGCTAGTACTTCCTTTTTATGCTGATGGGGTGGAGCTCGGGGCCTCCCCAGTGCCAGGCTAGCGCTCACCACCGAGCCTCCTCTGCCCACAACCGGGCGCCCCTCAAGGTTAGAACAACTCCACAGCCCCGAGGCTCCTTCCACCTGCTTTCAGTCCCTGCTCTTTCCACCCCCATTTTTCCGCCCAGCTGCTGGCTTTGTGTCTCTGTAGCCACAGCCGCATTTCCTTACGGTGGACCTCAGCACCTGTGGTCTCTGCAGGTGCGGCACTGGCTTCAACGCATGCGCACACTGGCTTCAACGCATGCGCACTCGAGCACACTTCATGCACGCTTTCCCTGCAGTTCTGAGGCTCTTTTGAGACTCACAGCTTGTCCCTCACGTTCCTCCAGCGGCCTTTCCTGTCTCTGTTCTTTCAATGTTCTCCTGAGAATCACATGACAAAGTGCATGGTAAAATGCAAGCGGAGCTGGGCATGGTGTCGTTTGTACTTCTAGCGCCCTGGGAGATTGAAACAGAAGGATCACAATTCAAACTCAGTCTAGGCGGGTGAGGGACTTAGCAAGACCCTGTCTCAAAGTAAAAAGGTAAAAAGGGCTGTGGTGTCGCTTCGTGTGAAAGTGCTAGGTTCAATCCCCAGCCCTGCAAAGAAAAAGAAAAGAAGAGATCTCTGGGTTTTCTCTAGAAATCTGATGCTCTGACCACACTGAGCTACGTGATCCACGGCAGCAGTCGGCTGGAGTGACTGCCAGGGTCCCCTGTGCAGGGCAGGGTTCTTCTTGCCTCTGGGCCACCCCAGCCCACTACTGCTGCTGCTGTTTCTACTGTTGCTTTTCTAATGGTAGCACTGAGACCAAAGCACAATGGCTCACGTGTCCCGCCTCTACCCACAGTAGGCAAACGCAAGATCGACCAAGAGGGCCGCGTGTTCCAAGAGAAGTGGGAGCGTGCATACTTCTTCGTGGAGGTGCAGAACATCCCCACGTGTCTCATATGCAAGCAGAGCATGTCAGTGTCCAAGGAGTACAACCTGCGGCGCCACTACCAGACCAACCACAGCAAGCACTACGACCGCTACACGGAGCAGGCACGAGACGCCAAGCTGGAGGAGCTCAAGAACGGGCTCCACAAGTATCTCATGGGCTCCTCGGACATCCTGTGTTCAGAGCCCAAACTCCCCAACATCAGTCCACCGGAGAACATTGTGGTGCAGCCCATGGAAGACGTGACAGGGAACCCATGGGAGAAGCTACGTGAGAAGATCAAGCTGTTTGTGGCCTACTCGCTCGCCATCGACGAGATCACAGACATAAACAACACCACGCAGCTGGCCATCTTCATCCGGGGCGTCGATGAGAACTTTGATGTGTCTGAAGAGCTCCTGGACACGGTACCCATGACGGGCACAAAATCCGCCAACGAGATCTTTTCGCGCGTGGAGAAGAGTCTCAAGAAGTTCAATATGGATTGGTCCAAGCTGGTGAGCGTGGCGTCCACTGGCACCCCAGCCATGGTCGATGCCAGTCATGGGTTGGTCCCGAAGCTCAAGGCCAAGGTGGCCATGCTCTGCAAGGGCTCCGACCTGAAGTCGATCTGCTGCATCATCCACCCCGAGTCCCTGTGTGCTCAGAGGCTGAAGATGGACCACGTCATGGATGTGGTGGTGAGCTCTGTGAACTGGGTCTGCTCCCGGGGCCTGAACCACAGTGAATTCACCACGCTGCTCTACGAGCTCGACAGCCAGTACGGCAGCCTGCTGTACCACACCGGCATCAAGTGGCTCAGCCGTGGGCTAGTGCTGAAGAGGTTCTTCGAGTCCTTGGAGGAAATCGACAACTTCCTGTCTTCCCGGGGGAAACCTGTGCCTCAGCTGAGTTCCCGGGACTGGATCAGGGACTTGGCCTTCCTGGTGGATGTGACCACCCACCTCAACACGCTGAACGTCTCCCTGCAAGGACACTCCCAGATGGTGACACAGATGTATGACCTGATCCGGGCGTTCGTGGCCAAGCTGTGCCTCTGGGAAACGCACTTGGCCAGGAATAACCTAGCACACTTCCCCACTCTGAAATTGGTTTCCAGGGATGAAAGTGACGGGCTCAACTACATCCCCAGGATCGCGGAGCTGAAGAGCGAGTTCCAGAAGCGGCTGTCTGACTTCAAGCTCTACGAGGCTGAGCTCACGTTGTTCAGCTCCCCGTTCGCCACCAAGATCGACAGTGTGCGGGAGGAGCTGCAGATGGAGGTGATTGACCTGCAGTGCAACACGGCGCTGAGGGCCAAGTACGACAAGGTGGGCATCCCTGAGTTCTACAAGTACCTGTGGAACAGCTATCCCAGGTACCGGAGCCACTGCGCCAGGATCCTGTCCATGTTCGGCAGCACCTACATCTGTGAGCAGCTCTTCTCCATCATGAAGCTCAGCCAAACCAAGGACGGCTCCCAGCTGCAGGACACACAGTGGGACTCCACGCTGCACGGCGCCACATAGGAAGGAGGTGGCCACCGCACCCAGCCCTGGAGTCCGCTGGCCCAGGGATGGCCCAGTGAGGGCGATGGAGTGATTAGGACACATATGGGGGGGGGTGATCCACCTTCCCACTTCGAATCAGAAGTCTAGTTTGCAAGATGGTACCTATTGGTGTGGTATTTTATGCTTCACTGTAGCTCAGTAAAACTCAAGAAAGCTGGATTGTACTCCTGTCATTGTCTGGCTCCTGCCACCTCCCTCACCCTGCTCGCTGTGGTCTGCATCATGATGAGTCAGCCAGTCAGCAGACAGATGGACGAGGAGAGCTGTGTCTACTCACTGCAGGTACCTGTGCAGTCACACATCTGTCCCCCATTTACACAGGTCCCCACGGGTCTAACACAGGTCCAAATCTGGGTAGAATCTTTGGAGACGTGTTTGTATATTACAGTACTCTTGGGTTTTAACCCCCAGTACTTGGGATTGACCCCAGAGCATTCACACTAAACTAGGGCTGGGATGGACTAAGAGCCTGCTTAGGCAAGCGCAGGGACTGAGGTTTGATCCCGGACACTATAGGTCACAACAGCCCCATGCCCAGGCACACCAAGCCAGCCACTGAGACTGGGTGTGGTGATACATGGCTATAATCCCAGCGCTGGGGAGGCTGAAAACAGGAGATCACTATGAGTCTGAGCTGTGTAGTGAGACCCTGTACTCAATACATAAAAAATAATAATAAAATTAAAAAATAAACTAGGGTTGGGATTACATATGTGCATCACCATGCCCAGTGAGTATTATAGCATTTACGTAGTATCCACTCTTGCCCAAAGCTAGAGAGGTCAGATTTAAAATGAAAAAGCCCAGAACAAATAAACAGCACGTAAAAGATGAAGTACGTTGAGGTTTGAAGGTTATCTTACTTTTTTTTTTTTAATTTGAAATATTTTCAAATGTATGGAGAAGTTGCAAAAGTGAAAATAGTATGAAGAGGGCTCATTTGTTTGACTCGATCCAGATTTCCCACAGTGAACATGTCCCCATTTTACCATTTGTTTCCTTCGGTCTCCCTGTAAAATCAGTGCCTGTGGGTGGATAAGTGTCTAGGATGTGTGAGTCAATGCAGGTGCATTTTCCTGAGCCATGTCAGGGAAATTCACACACATCATTATCCCTAAACACTTCAAGGACTGTTTTCCAAGAACACAGGCATCCGCATACATACCCGGGGTTCAGGTACCAACCTGAGTAGGTCAAATGTGGATGCATCACTTTGATCTGCTTTAGGCTAGGTGTGGCGGCACACGGCTGGAATCCCTACACTCGAGAGGCTGAGGTAGGAAGACTGCTGTGAGTTCCAGAACAGCCTGCATTATGTAGCAAGACCTTGTCTCAAAAGACAATACATACTCCAGTTTTGTCTGTTAACCCAATTATGTCTCTTCATAGCATTTTCCTAAAAGTTGCCATTTGAATGTGTGTGTGTGTGTTTGTGTGTGTGTGTGTGTGTGTGTATACATCCCTTTGTGTTTTTTTATTTGTAGGAGAGGGGAGCACAGGGATTGAACCCAAACCCTTCATCCTTGGGCCCTTTTTTATTTTTTATTTTGAGACAGGGTTTTGGTAAGTCACCAGGATGCCCAGACTAGGCTCAAACTTTAAGTCCTCTGCCTCAGCCACCCAGAGTGCTGGGATGACAAGTGTGTACCTCCGCACCTAGTTCACCTCTGTATTCTTAATGTGTATTCTTGGGAATTGGGGACCCCAAAATTTCCTCCACCTAACATGGAACCAGGCCAAACAGCTCAGGAAGCTGCAGAGGCAGGGCTGGTACACAGAGGGAGAAGACAGCCTCCTGCTGCTGCTGCCTGATGTCCTCGGGACTCGCACTCAGATCCAGTGACTCCACAGGCCCTGTCCCTCAGAGCAGCTGCCCTACATGCTGTGGATGCAGCTCCTGGCCATTCACTCGCCCGACACAGGGAGGGAACAGCTCCCTTCTGTCCAGGGCCTTTTCACTTTGAAATCCCAAGGCCCCAGTCTTCCCTCTCTGTCCTGGCTTGTGTGTCAGAACAGGGATGTGGCAGCTGTTGCCCAGTACTGTCACCCACATGAGACAGAAACTAGGATGAAGGAGTGCACAGGAGCAGTTCGCATCGGCCACCGCAGATGGGAGTGTTTCGGGGCTGTGCTGGGGGCTGGGGCTGCTCATCACAGCCCACTCCTGGGGCAGGCTGTTCTGTCCTGTTCCGGCCACCCTAGCCCAGGAAGGGCAGAGAACAGAGCTGGCCATGCCTCTGAGGCAGACCCAGGGCTGGCGGTCCACACTGAGACCCTGATACCAGGCTGCTTGCCAGGGTGGGTGCCTCCACGCCCAGAGCAGCCTGAGGGGCCGCCACAGGCCTGCCCCAAGGCCCCAAGTTGGATACCCCTGGGAACCCAGGAGGGATCCAGGCTCGCCTCCCAGCGCTGTCCCTTCCAGCCCTGTTAGCTTGAGCAAATCACCTACACACTCTGGGCTTGTCTTCTTTACCTGTAAAATCTCCACCCACCGACCCTGCCCTGAGAACTAGAGCTGCCAGAGTGCAGCCTCAAGGAAACAGGTGGGTGACAGGCGGGTGGCAGCTCTGTCAGGGCCAGCACCTGTGGCCACATCCCTCCCTGTCCTGGGGATACAGGGCCTCTGTGCATTGCTTCCTAGCTGCACAGGAGACACTGGTGCCAACACAAGGCCCCTTCCAGGGGACCAGACATGTGGAAAAATCATGGGTCATGGGTGGAGGGGGCTGATCAGGGTTTCGGCTTAGGAAAAAAATATATATTAAAAAAAAAAGCCAAGTTTTAAATGATGGAAGTAAATGCCTTATACTGCATTGAATGGGAAGGTTCTAAGTGCCAGAACAAGCAGGGTTGGTTCGTTTCCCCACAGCCCCACGTGGCAGATAGCAGCTTTCCCCCCAAGGTGGGTCTGCCAAGTCACGGGGCTCTCATACCCTTTGACAGTGAATGCATTCTCTCCAGAGTGCCTGTCCCTGTGATTTTGCCTCACTCTAAGGAGACCAGCCCTGCCCCCCTCACAGCCATGGCCCAAGCAGAGGAACAGCTCTTCACAACACCTGTGGTGGCCTTTGTGATGAACAGGGTCCTTTGCATTTGGGGACAGACACACATGGCAAAGACGCTGAGGCCACACAGTCCCGTGGGCTCCGCACAGCAGTGAATGTTGCTTCCAGTGTCGCAGCCTCCTAGGCGGGCAGGAACAGTGGAGCAATGTGGACCATCCGCACCGGCTGGGCCTTTGCTTTGGTTCCAGGCTGCATGCCCTGCGCTGGACACAGCCTGTTTCCTACTGCACTCGCCCTCGTCTTCAGTGTGGCCAGAGCTTCAGCAGCAGCTCTGTCCAGGCAAGAGCCCAGCAAGGACTGGAGTCCCTCTTGCTCTTGGGCTTCTACACACCTGTGCCTGGCCAAGAGCAGGGCAGTGCGCAAGCAAGGACTTCAGCTGCTGCCACTTGAAGCCAGCGCCCACCGGGTCTCACTGCTCCCTGTCATTCTAGAAATATCCCAGGGCCAGCAGTGGTGGCACATGCCTGAAATCCAGCTCTCTGGGAGGCTGAGGCAGGAGGATCAAACGCTCAAGGCCAGCCTGGGAAAGTTAGGTTCTGTCTGAAAAAAGGAAAAGCTGAGAATGAAACTCAGTGTGAAGCCCCTCGGTTCAATTCCCAGGTGTGCGTGTGTGGGAGGGTCACTGCGACAGAGCCCGGCCCACCCTGTTCGGCGTCCACTACAAGTAACATTTATTGCGGGTGGTTGAAGGGCTCCAGGGCATCGACTGCAGGTTCTACACATGTATATATATACAAGGATCGCGTATATACAGAGTTAGGACAGGGACTTTTCTGAGGATGGCGCCCAAGCCTCAGACAGAGACAGCAGACGCCAGCTTTCGCTTGGTGCTCTCGCTGCAGCGGTGCAGGATGAGGTCGGCGCTGGGTCTCGGGGGCACTGCTGGCTGCGGCTTTGCTCGCTGGCTCTGTGGATTCTCCTCTGAACCAGACAGCAAGGCAGGTCAGAGGTCCCACCCAGAAGCTCCCCTGGCCCATCCCCTTGAGCCTTCCTCATCCTCAGACCCTGCCCTCTATGGCTAGCCATGCCCCTTGTTTTCTGGCTACGCCCTTTGGTCCCCCTAAAGCTCTCTCCGCTCTGGTCTAGCCTTCGGGTCCTTCCCCTCCCTAACTCCGCCCATCACCCAGGTCCCGCCTGGTAGCTTCCTCTGGCCCCTCCTTCCTCTCAGACTCCGCCCTCTAGGACTTGCCCCGCCCCTGAAACCTCTGGCCACGCCTCTCCGAGGCTCACTCTGAGGTCCAGGCCGTGTTAGGCCACCGCGCCGCTGCTGCAGGAAGCGCACGCTGTTGCGGCGATAGGTGTCCTGGGTGAGGCGCTTCCGTGACCGCTGGTGGATGCTGTGCGCATTGCGGATGGTTGACCTAGGCCAGAGGGACCGGATGTCACCAGATTCCTGGCCACTCCCAGCATTTCCCAACTCCCCCCCCCATCCAGGACTTGGGGACCCTTGCTCACCGGCGGGGCGGCGCTCCTCGGCCCTTGATCTGGCGCTGAGCCTGTGCTATGTCTTGCCCAGCCTTCTGCAGGTACATGGACGGGAAGTAGCCGGTGACGTCCTCCTTCCTGCAAGACAGCTGCCTTGAGGCCCAGCCAGGAGCTGCGGGGCGTGGGCCTCAGTTTTCCCTCTGTATAGCATCTTAAAGTCTGGGCAGGGGGACAGCTGCCAGTGTTTCCTATATAAGCTGCAAGATACCACTTGTCACTTTTTTTTTTTTTTTTTTTGCGGAACCGGGGATTGAACTCAGACCCTTGTGCTTTAAGCCCTTATTCCACTGAGCCATCTCCCCGGCCCCACTTTTTTTCTGTTACAATGTTCTGTTTGTGTCCAGAGAAAGTCGCCATGTTCATTTCTACTTTCTTCTTCATCTTCGTCTTCCCTTTCATTTTCGTCTTCTCCCCTCCTCCTTCTTCTTCTTCATGTGTTTTATACGGGGTCTCACTACGCAGCCCAGACTCCCCAGCACTGGGATTACGCCCGGTTTTAGTGGCCAGCTCGGTACGCCTGGCTGCATGTACCTAAGGCTAGGGTGGCAGGGGTATGTAGTACTGGAGATCGAACCTGAATCCTTGCACTTGCCAGCAGGTGCTTAGACTACTGAGCTATCTCCACAGCCCTCTACTTTCTTCTACAGGCTTTTTAGCTTTTAGTTTTTACCGATGGTAAATCCTAAGTAAAATCTGTGATCCATCCAAAACAAATATATATGGTGTGAGGTAAGGATCTGGGATTTTGAGAGTTTTTTGCAACAAGGTCCCACTTGGCCTTGAACTCACTACGTAGCCTAAGCTGGTCTCAAACTACAGCAATCTTACCTCAGCCCCTCAAGGGGTAGGATCACAGGCATGTACCACCATGGGTTGTTTTTTCCTGCCATATAGATATCCCTGTGTTCCAGAACTATTGTTGAAAAGATTTTCCTTTCCACATTCAATAGCATACTTGAGCGCAAGAAAAAAAATCTTTATGTAACACAGACAAGGCGAAAAACCAACAACAAAATCCCTGCTTAGCTGGTGGATGCTTGTCAGGTGCTGACCAGGGCCAATAAGCATAGGGCCAGGTTGGAGTGTGTGGCCAGGCTGTGGGACAGGGTGACCCAAGGCTTTGGCTTGGGAGCCCCCTGGCTGCAGCGAGTCTTCCCTCAAGCCAGAAAAAAACAAAACTAGAGTTCCGACAGACATTTTTAAGAACAGGAAGACAGGAACTGCAATGCATGTTTTCAAAGGACAAGGAGTCTGTGGTCCTGGTCGTCATGGGCAATAAATCCCACAACTGGGTGTGCTATTGCACCAAGCCAGGAAGGGACCTGAGTCCTAAGTGAAAGGGGCCCCATGGCCTGGGACACCGAGGCCCCAGTGCAGGTGTGCCGGGCTCCTACCTGACCACCCACCAGCCATCCAGGAGCTTATGAATGACCTCGATGGCTTCACCCTCAGACAGGGACACCTCGTCCTCCTCCACAGCAGCGTAGGCTTTGATGGTGACATAGGGTTCACCTGGTAGATGAAGGGGACACGGGCTGTGGCAGGGGGTCTTGCCCCTGCCACCTCCTCTGGGCCTCAGGCTTCCTCCAGCTGTGCAGCCCCACATGAGCCAGGTCAGCCCTCTGGTGTCCACTGTGGGGAGCATCTACACCAGGGCCCTGGGAGCTCACCCCGCACCACAGCCATCCACACCAGGGACCAGGGCACTTGTCAATACAGGGCCCCAGCCAGGCACCCAAAGAGACCTGCATGGGGAAACACTGCTCACAGGGCCCCTGGCCCACTCAACTGCAGTGAAACCCAGGCCCAGCCTTGTCTAGAAGAGTTCTAAACCCCCCACTAAGGAATCAAATCCTCCTTTCCTTTTTATTATTTCCATTACTGGGGATGGAACCCAGGGCCTCAGCATTAAGCTGTATCCCCAATCCTTTTTTTTTTTTTTTTTTTTTTTTCTTCTTCTTCTTTTTTTATTATTTTGAGATAGGGTCTTGCTAGTCACTAAGTTGCTGGGCTCAAACTTGTGATCCTTTTGCTTCAGCTTCCCAGAGTTCTGGGATTACAGGTAGGCACCACTATGCCTGTGAAATCTTTCAATTTTAAAACATGGCCAGAGACTGGTGGTGCATGCCTGTAATTCCAGCTCTTGGGAGGCTGTAAACAGGTGGATCATTACAAGTCCAATCTAGTAGTGAAACCCTGACCACCCTGTAGACTCTTCCCTTAAAAAAAAAAAAAAAAAAAAATGGCCAGCCAAGCCTAACTGACCTTGAATTCAGTGAAGACCCCATGCATGCAGCCCCAGGTCCACCAGGGTCCCCCTTCTGGGCAGTGATGGTACCCCACCTCCAGGCAGCACTCAGCTGCCACCCCTGTCACCTCCATCCCTCCAGCTGTCACCTCCTGGTTCCCTGTGCTCACTAAAGATATCACAACCAACCAGGGTTCCCAAGTCAGAGACAATGAGTCTTCGGAGCAAGCGGCAGTGAGGGAACACCGGCATGAGTGCCGCCTTTGCCATGGCCCCAGCTGCCTTCTCCTGCCCCTTCCTCCCAAAGTCCTGGACTCTGGAAGTCTGGGTACCTGCATAGTTGGGCTCTGGATCCTCAGCCTCATCAGGACTGTCCAGGGGCTCCAAGAAAGATGCGGGGACCCAGCCGCGCTTTGTCTTCATTTGGCAAAACCACCAGCCTGTGCCAGGGTGGGAGAGGTAAGAGAAAGAGGCGGAGCCCGACAGCCTCCCTCAGCCACGAAGGTGCAGAGGACATACAGAGATACACAGACATGGGGCGCTGAGATTCACCAGTGTCTCCTCCACGCTCAACGTGGAAATCCCACACCCCCACCCACAGCTCATGGGGACTGAGTCCCCTTTCAGGAGCAGACTGGAAGTCTACACCCAGCCCTGCACCATGCAAGGAGACCCAGCCCCAGGGGAACCTCGGCAGGGTGGGGGCCTGACCACTCTCGCTTTTCTCCACGACGTCTACCACATCGCCCATGGCCAGAGCCATCTCGGAGCCCGAGGTCTTCTGGTAGTCAGCAATGGCCCGGTAGCTCTGCAGGATGATGGGCCCAGTGATGTCTGGCGGGGAGGGAGGCACTGAACGGAGGCTCTGGGTGGCCTCACCCTGCACTAAGAGTCAGCAGCCAGGAGCCATTTCCTGCAGCCCCAAGCCCCCAAGTCCCCAGCCCTTCCTGGACACTGGCTTCTCAGCAGGGGAAGTCACAGGGTCTGGAGCCCCCTTCCCCAGGACCCTGATTGGGCAGGAGGTGTAGCAGGGCTAATTTGGCCAGAGGTCCAGGGATCTGGGAGGCCGAGGCAAATTTGAGCCCAACTGGGCAACTTGATGACTTAGTGAGATCCTGCCTCAAAATAAAAAAATTTTAAAAGACAGAGCTCTGTGTGAAGGGCCTGGGTTCTGTCCCAATACTGCAGGGAGAGGGTGAGGGAGGAGGGGAGAAGTCACTAGAGTACATAGGTAGGAGGAAAGGGAAGAGAGACACCCCCAAATCAGTCCTGCAGGTGCCTGGGCCAGCACACTTTGTCCTACAGGACTGCGCCCTGAGCCACACCTCTCGTCCTGTGGCGCCAGGTGTGGAACCCAGGACCTCACTGGAGGGAAGCCCATGCTGGCCCAGGAGCTGCTCCCTGGGCAGACTGCACTCTGAGAAGAACCTGTGAGGAATCTGCCACCTATCAGCGTGGCGCCACCCTAGGGAAGAGTCATCTTCCAGCGAGCATGTGCAGCAGGGCGCCTGTTTCCTATCACCCTGGACTTGAGTCAGTGAAAATGATGAGTGCTTTCTTTGACAGGAGGGTTTCATTATGCTGCCCGGGCTAGTTTCAATTTCTTGGGTCCAAGTAACCTTTCTGCTTTAGCCTCTGGGACTAGCAGCGTGTACCTGGTGCCTGCATTAATACTTTTGTTTTCAGTACTGGGGGTTGAAGCCAGGGCCTTGACACTGAACTATATCCCCAGCCCTTCCTGTTATTTATTTTTTAAATTTTGAGACAGGGTCTTGTTAGACTGTCCAGAGTAGGCTCACACTTTTCATCCTCCCACCTCAGCCTTCCTGATGCTGGAATTACATGCATGTAACACCACATCCCACTTAGAATTAACACATTTTGGGGGCTGGGGAGATAGCTCAGCAGAATAAGTGCTTGCCTGGCAAGCACAAGGGCATGAGTTCAATCCCCAGTTCCGGGGGGGGGAAAAAAAAGGAGGAGGAGGAGGAGGAGGAGGAGAAGAGGAGGAGGAAGAAGAAGAAAAGAAGAGGAAGAGGAAGAATTGACACATTTTAAAAGTGTCTGCCAGGGGCTGGGGAGATGGCTCAGTAGGATAAGCGCTTGGCAAACGCAAGGATCTGAGTTCAATCCCCGGTTCCGCAAAAAAAAAAAAAAAAAAAAAAAAAGTGTCTGCCAGTCCTGGGGGCACACAATTGTAATCCCAGCACTTGGGAGGATGAGGCAGGAGGGTTGCCTTAAATTTGAGACCTGCCTGGCCTACATAAGCGAGTTCAAGGACAGCCTTTGATAGTGAGACTCTGTCCAAAAATAAAATAAAATAAAAAATTAAAAGTGTCTACCGCGGAGTAAGTGCTTGGTAACCGTTAGGGATTACTGTTTTGTTTTGTTTTCCAGAACCGGGGATTGAACTCAGGCCCTTGCACTTTCCAGGCAAGCATTTATTCTACTGAGCTATCTCCCTGGCCCCTAGGGATTACTGTTAACAGCTGCTGAGCAATCCAGATTAGCAACCTGGCCCTGGGTCACCCCTGAATGCCACATTGGCTCCAAACTCTTCCATCCCTGTACCACAAACTCCTCTCCTCCCCCACCCAGTTGGTACTGGACACTACAGTCCCAGAACTGAGGACACGTGGCCACCTGCAGGGGCAGCCCTGGCGCTGTGCCCACACTCGGGCTCTCACCCGCTGCATTGTTCTTGCTGTCTTTGGGCACCAGGTAAGTCTCCGGCTTCCTCACCCTGCAGAAGGGAGAACCTGCGTCTGTATGGAGCTTACGCGGAAGGGCAGCCCAAGCAGACCTGCAGGAGGACTTTGCAGAGCCAGGCGACCGGGACAGTGGGGAAGGCTTGGGAATGACAGGGCGCCAGGCCACCCCAGGAGATCGTGGGGGGCATCAGCCCAGCCTCTACAGACCCCGACTGCCCAGGGAGCATTTAAGGTCAGCTGGGCAGGTTTGCGAGCAAGGACACAAGAGAGGGCTGAGGGAGTCTGCAATTGGAGGCGCCCTGGACAAACACCGGCCTCTCTGTCTCGCCTCGACCCATCAAATTCTGGGGATTTCAGTCAGATGTCGGAGGGGGTTGGGAGCGGGGCACATGACTGTAATCCCAGAGCTCTGGGAGGCTGAGGCAGGAGGATCACCATATTCAGCCCAGCCTGGGAAACTCAGTGATTTAATGAGATCCTATCTAAAAATAAAAAGGGGTAGAGGTATAGCTCAGCGTGAAGGTCTTGAGTTCAATTCCCAACAAGGCGGTAAGCGGGTGGCCTCTAGGTGCACGGCCAGCGGGTCACAGTGCAGGTTCAGGACCCCCTAGCCAGGGCTCGTCCCTCAGCTCCATGGAGCTCGACGCTGGAGCCCTGCCACTTGGCTTCCTTTCCCGTATGACGCTGGGCCGCTGGCTTGGCCTCTCTGGATTTCAAACTCCTTTTCTCTGCCCCCCCGGTTCCCACCCACTGCACTCACGGGCTGTCGCCAGGCAGCTGCAGGTCTTCAGGCCGCACCTTGAAGAAGCCCAGCACATGCGGGCCGCGGGAGATCTTGGGGGGCAGCGCCATGATCGCGGCGCAGTACTCGGACAGCGTCCCCTGGCGGCTCTCGGCGGCGCGCTGCCCGTCGAACCAGCGTGGGGCTGGAGTGGTGGAGGACACCAGCAGGTGAGGGATCCAGGAGAGCGGAGGGACGGGGTGGGGGAGTAGGGGAAAGTGGGGGATGGGGGTGGGGGCGGACTGGGAAGGGGAGAGACCTAGGGGTGGGGAGGGACTGGGGAAGGGGAGCTCACTGGGGAGGAGAAGGACCCAGGGAAGGGGAGGATCCAGGGCCGGTGGGGGACCCGGTGGAGGTGGGGGCCAGGGCCCGGCCTCACCCGGGAGGTGCGGGATGATCCTGTTCTCGGGGTTGATTTCTCCCGCCTCAATGGGAAACATTTCCTTTAGCATTTTCTAGTTGGGAAAAGAAATGGCAGGAATGCCACGGACGCTCCCTCCCTGAGGCCTGCTGGCCTCTCTGGTTGTGACCCCCCACTCCTTGGCACACAGCAGAGCAGGGCTTGGCCCCCTTACCCCTCAAATTAGCTCCCTCTGGGACGGGCTGTGAAGGCTCAAGGACCCCGTGAATGCACCGAATGCCCTTGAACTGCACACCCCAAGAGTCAAAATGGTTCATTTGGTTATGAATGCGCGACAGCCATGGAAATTCGCATTTTGTAAAGCTTTTCATTAAGTTCAAGAAAGTACCTCTTTGCTGTGGGCTAGGGGACCCCTCAGTGCCCTGGCCCCACACTCACGTGGAACTCGTAGATCTCGGTGAACTTCCGGTACACCACCTTCTCGGACAGGTCCTGCCACTTCACCAGGAACATGTATACCTGCGGAGGAGCGCGTCAGGGAGATCTGGAGCTGCCACTCTTAGCTCTGGGACCTGGGGCAGCTTCTCACCAGGCAGAGTGCTCAGGTTGGAAACTTAGTGCCCAGGTTAAGAGGTGGTGGGACCTTTAAGAGGAGGGGCCTGGTGGGAGGTGCTTAGGTCGAGGGCTGTGGTCTAGCGGAACTTCCGGTCCCCCCCAGCTGTTGGTGGGGGTCTTTCCTGCAGAGCTGGATGCTGAGCTTCCAGGCTGGCTCTGTGGTCCTCGCTCTGCGCTTCTGCCATTCAGACACCTCTGACCTGAGGTGCCATGCTGTTGGCGCTTTCCACCACCCAAACCATGACCTCAATGGCCTCTTTTAAGCTTCTTTTTAAAATTAGTATCTATTTGGAGTCGATGATGATTAGGTTATTCGCCATGGGGAGTTGGTGCAGATGCATATCCTAACCGCACCATCTTTACTTCCCCTTCCCTCCATAGCGTCTCCCCTCCCCAGCTGCAGAGTCCATCCCCTGCTTCCTGTCATCAGTCTTTCGTTCTGCTCTTTGAGTTGTATTGTCGGTTTCTCATACACTAGCAAGTAGGCAATATTCAGCCTCCTGACTTGTAGCAAAGAGCATCCATTTTCCTACAAAGACTACTCTGTCTTTACAGCAGAGCAGTACTCCACTGGGCGTCAGTGCCACCCTCGCTTTCCCCGCTTATCTGGCGATGGACACGCGGCTGCTTGAAAGACTGATCTGTGCACAGTGTGCTGAGTAGACGCGGGTTTGCACGCATCACTGCGCTATGAGGTCTTAAGCTCTGGGGTAAACACACAGGCGCAGGCCACGAGAGCCAGGTCCAGGGGAATGTCTGTTTCAGTTTTTAAATGAATCTCCACCCTGGTTTCATGAGCGGCGGTACTAGTTTCTATTCATACCCTCAGCAGGGAAAAGTTCCTGTGTCCCCACAGCCTCGCCAGCCAGCATTTCTCATTTTTTGAGTTCTTGATGAGGGTCATTCTTTCTTTCAAGAGTAAAATGGAATCCCAGCAGCCTCCTTTCTCTATAACTCCCTATCCTCGGCTATTTTGTTATAGTAATGCAAAACAGACTAGCGCAGCTTCTTTAGATCAACTCAGATTCCTTGTCCTAACTTACAGGTAGACGCAGACCTCACTCCTGGGTCTGGCGTGTGTGTCTCTAGCCTGGGAAGTGGAGGGGGCTGGGGTGCTGTAAGAACCCAAGGAAGAGGATGTGGGGTTCCATTTCTATACAATTTTTTTTAAATATTTATTTATTTTGTGTCTGTGTGTCCAGCTCAGCCCACCAGGGGGCGGGGCTGGCTGGCACGTGGTGCTGGGGGATTGAACCCCGGTCCGTGTGCTTTTGCTTAGCTTGTTCTAAGTAGGTGCTTTAGACCACTGAGCCATCTCACCAGCCCCCCATTTCTATACAATTTGCAGAGCAGACAGATGTGTATGACGTGGACCGGCATTGCCAGGAGCAGGAGCCGGGACTGGAGAGACTGCTCCTCCGTACAGGGTTTATTTGGAGAGGAGATGGGAAGAAAATGGCCTGTGCTGAGTGTACTGGTGGTTGCAAGGTTCTGAATATACTCAACACAGAGTCCCACAGGCAAGCTATATGGTGTTGAATTTCGTCTCACATGAGCCATAATTTTAAAAAACCCTCAGTAAGGTAATATAGAAACAGCGAGGTGAGCTCAGCATGGTGGTATACATCTGTAACTTCAGCTTCTTCTTAGGAGGCCAAGACAGGATGATTACAAATTTGTAGTCAGGTCGTAGTACTTAGCAAGAGCCTGTTTCAGTGAAGACAAAGGAATAGAGAGTTGGGGCTGTAGCTCAATGCAAAGGCTCTGGGACCAATGCGCAGTATCAAAAAAAGAAAAAGAAAAAGAGAAAGATGGGGCTGGAGAGATGGCTCAGTGGTCTAAAGCACCTACTTAGAACAAGCTTGGCAAGGCATCAGGGACCGCGGTTCAATCCCCCAGCACCACATGCCAG